GGAAGACAAAGATTGGCAATTGATCTGGGCCTCCCCAATGAACAAGTCTACGATATTTAATCTTCATCTACAGAATTTCAAATTACTTACGAGGTGGTACATGACCCGAAAACAACTAAACAAAATTAATAGAAGTAATGACTCCACTTGCTGGAAGAAATGTTGACAGACAGGCTCGTACATCCATTGTTGGTGGAGCTGCCCAGTAATATGTCAGTTTTGGAATGAGGTAGCTAGGCGTATAAATGAAATGACCAAGCAAAAAATCTCTTTTACACCGGAAGTGATATTGTTGAGTAGATGGGACGACTCCACGAAAGAGGATAGGAGGAACCTCACATCACTTCTTTTTGCAACGGCTAAACTAACAATAGCCTCTGTATGGAAATCCCCTAATCCCCCCACACTGTCTCTCTGGCACGATAAGCTATGGGAACAGTTCGTCATGGCTAAAATTAATGGCCTAAGTCGAGAGACCCAGACACCTTACACCACATTACATACAAAATTGAGAAGGCTCTAGTCACCGGTGGTGAAATATATGTCAAAACACGAAATTCTCCCCACAAACATGAATTATCACAGGTGGTTGTTCTTATAACGTATCGCTCACTTTAATATTCTGGACAATTGAATAAGTCTACATCTATTGAATGGTCAATAACATTATTCAATGGTGCAAATGTTCAGAGGAGACAATAGATAAAATATCGAGTAAAGTATAGTAAAAAAGATCATTTAGATTTTAACCAGGGTTCCTTAAAGTTCATAGTTTAACCACTATACTTTCATTTACTGTATACCCCTTGGATGCTTTTGAGTTGGTGTTGTTTCTTTCTCTGCATTTGAATGTACTTTTAAGTAAAAGAATAAAAATATAATTAAAAAAAGAAAAAAAGAAAATGGAGCTGCGGTGGCTCAAGTGGTTAAGACGCTGAACTGCAGGCTGTGGAAGGTTGGTAGTTCAGCAGTTCGAGACCCGACTGTGCCGCATGACGGAGTGAGCTCCCGTCTCTAGTTCCGGCTCCTGCCAACCTAGCAGTTCAAAAGCAAGAAATTGCAAGTAGATAAATAGGTACCACTTCAGTGGGAAGCTAACAGCGTTCCGTGCACCTTGGTGTTTAGTCATGCCAGCCACGTGACCACGGAAATGTCTTTGGACAGTGCTGGCTCTTCGGTTTTGAAACGGAGATGAGCACCGCAACCCTAGAGTCGGACTCGACTGGCTTTCGAGCAAGGGAACCTTTACCTTAATGGAAAACAATGTCGTTTGAGCATGTTTGGTGCTGAGGGAGGACATATCTGACTTTTGTCTGAAATGACCTAAAGCTCTGACTGACCAACCTACCCCCAAACCTCTTAATAATTGGAGATGGTTAGGTTCCTAATACACCTTGGTGAATATACAGGAAATTGCTATACACTTCTTTTGACATTGGTAGGCTGCAAAGAAAATAGTAAATGCCTCTTTGAATACTGTGCTATTGAAAAGATTTATTTGACATTGATCTTGTTCGAACTGATTTTGAAATACGTTGTTTTGCTGCAGTGGTACGATTCGCTTATGGGAACTGGATTTACCAAACAGAAAAATCCGACCTACTGAGTGTCAAACCGGACAGCTGAAAAGAATAGGTACTTGTGCTATGGTAAGTTGTCTGCTGAACTGTTATTTACAAAATGAAGGCAAGTTAAGTTTCAGGCCAAAAAGAGCAGTTTGTAGCAGTGTTAGTTATTATGGAAAGCATAAGATTTTCATACTTGTGGTTCTATTATGAGATGACAGTCAATCTTTACCCATATCACTAAAAAGAAAAAACTGCAATGAATTTCTGATGTGCTAGTTCAAAGCTATTCAGTCATCACAGTGAAGGGTGTGATATATGCTCTTAACCTTTTCCTTCTTCATTCTTACCCAGATGACAGACGATGATAGTTACTTCTATATAGGCACGTCCACTGGTGATGTCCTGAAACTCAATACAAAAAGCACACTGATGAGTGATTATGGCCCAATAAAAGAGAAGTTCAGCCTGGTAAGTGGCTGCTGTGCTCTGCCTCTCACTAGCAGAACAAGTGTAATCAAGTAAATTGTGGGCTGATATGTAAGACAGTGGAGGCTCTGGCAGACAATTTGTGCCTAGTCTACCAGGGAGAGCTGCCTGTTTGCTTTCTGCTACATTGCAGTGACACCATCATGGATGTGCAATGTATTAGCCGAATATATTAGTGATATATATAGTGATGGAATTCAGTATGAGCGACAAGATTTTCCTCTCCTCCATTTTATCTTCACAACAACTGTGAGAGGTATGCTAGGCTGAAGGGGTGCCTGTCAAAGGTCACACAGCAAGCTTCATGGCAGAATGGGAATTTGAAGCTGGGTCTCCCAAATCCTAGCCTTATACTCTAACCACAATGCTGCACTGTCTGCTGGCTGGGGAGCTTTACTGTTTGGTTGGTGCCTTCTTTTGTCCAGTTGGCCAAGCCCAATAGAAGATCATGGACACAGGAGATGTGTAAGTATAGGCCTGTAAACTACTATGATATGTCTAAGTATTTTCAGACAAAGTTTGAGTCCAGTGGCACCTTTAAGACCAATGAAATTTTATTCAAGGTACAAGGTTTCGTGTATCTGAAGAAGTATGCTTGCACACGAAAGCTTATGTCTTGAATAAGATTTTGTTGGTCTTAAAGGTGCCACTGGACTCAAACTTTGTTCTGCTGCTTCAGACCAACACAGCTACCCACCTGAATCTATTTTCTGACAAGACACTACACCGTACACTTCCACTGTAAAATGAGATTATTAGTAACAAGTATCACATAACTGTTTAAGAGGTAAAATTGTATAAGAATTGAAAGTGTTCTGGCTAGCAAAAGTAGTACCAGCAATCAGTTAATCAAATAACATGTGTTTCCCACTAGCTATTGTCTTCTTTCAAATCATGCATGGAGGCATTTTCTCTTCTGCTAGGGGCCCCTTCAGTCCTGTGTTCTTATGGATTGAAAACACAAAGAGAAGCATTTCTACAAATGAGCAAGAAAATATGGCAGGATCAGTTTAATATTTGGAAGGTTTGACTTGATTGCTAAATACATCATTTACTGTGTGTTAGGCAGGGCTTTTTTGTAGAAAAAACCCAGCAGGAACTCATTAGCATAATAGGCCACACCCTGACACCAAAACTCATTAGCATATTAGGCCGCAGCCCCGTGTTGCCAGAAGTGTGGTCATCCAGCCACACCCACCTTTTGCTTCTTATTCTGTTTACCTTGTTTGTTGTCAAAAACCAGGGCCTTTTTTTGTAGCAGGGACTCCTTTGCATGTTAGGCCACACACGCCTACTGTAGCCAATCCTAATGAGTTTCTGATGTTGGGTGTGGCCTATTATGCTAATGAGTTCCTGCTGGGCGTGGCCAACTCAGGAGCCAGCCGGAACTCCGTTCCTGTGCATTCCTGGCCAAAAATAGCCCTGGTGTTAGGCAACATTGAGTCACATAGATGTGGTACTGTCATTTTCACTGAGACGCAACTGGCTCATATTTCGAGCTGCTAGCGGCAGTTACTCCTATACCTAATTGACTGAATGGGAACATCTGTGTAAGGGCAATTCAGAACACCTTATCTGAACTCAGCTTCCTTTCCCAGCACTACAATTGTGACATCCTTCTGTTTATGTATATACACAGGCATGTTTTATACCAGCATTAATGTTCTAGTCTTTATTTCAGGAGCTCTCCATTCTTTCCTACTGCTGTTTTCTCCCCCTTCTTTCTTGCTAAATGTGTACAGTACAAAATCTGCTATTAGCCCTGTCACAGGCAGCAGCTAGAAAGGTTCTCTAATGGCTGCCACCACTCTGGTATGGGTCTCCTCGGGAGGGTCCAGAGCAACCACTCTACCCCTTTATACACTCCTTTTCCAGTGGGTTTCCCCTTATAAGTGACCAAATGAGGTATGAGGACCCAGGCAGAGTAACAAACTATGTTTATTAAAGAGAATTAACAGCAGCGGTAATTCAATAACATGTAGGAAAAATGAGCACAGTAAAGGTAGGTAAACCAGCAAAATAAGAAACCCTAACGCATCTGACTGTACTGTACCTAGCCTTCTCTAGGTATTTGGCCTCAAGCTGACTCACCCCTTTTGGATGAGGGATCCCTTCATCTGCAGCAGCTTCACACTAGCTCTGCTACCTAGGAGTGAACCACCTCCCACTTTGGGCAAAGCCTTTTATCACTTCTTCCCAGGCAACACCCTCTACTATTCTACTGATGTAAGTTTTACCTCCAAATCCCCTGTTACCCAATCACAGGATCCAAAGGGTGACCTGGGAAATGTAGGCCCTGATAGCTACTCTAGTACAGGCTTCCCTGGAGCCACTAGACCTCCCTAGACCCTGTAGGCTGCACTACTATAGGTCTAGGATTATGACAAGCCCCCTTTTATTTCATTCTTATCTTAATGTCATTTGCCATCTAGGTCCTTAATCCTGGTAATGGCTTCTTTCCTCTCCTCTGTTTCTTCTCAGGTTTCTTTAGCAAAGCCTGATGCACCTTATTTGATTTCTCACTCATTAGCATATAGCCTGTTGTTAGGGTTGCCAGCCTCCAGGTGGGGCCTGGAGATCTTCCACTTTTACAGTTGATCTCCAGCTGACTTGAGATCAGTTCCTCTGGAGAAAATTGCTGCTTTGAAGGGCATTGTACCATGATGAGGTCCCTCTCCACCTCAACCCCCACTCTCTCCTGGATCCACCCCCAAAGTCTACAGGTATTTTCCAACCCAGAGCTGGCAACCCTACCTGTTGCCCTTGTGAGTTTATTTGTGTAGAGTATAAACCCTCTGAGTATGCCAGTATGGCAACTAGGACCACTAGTGCAACATCTCTTTTCAACCCTGCAGAAGGCAGAAAAAAATTACCTGGCCCTAAGTAACCTACTAGTCTGATAGACTTGAACAGAGACTTGGATGCAAATTGCTTACCTAGAACATCTTGCTACCTGTAACATAATCCAGGTATGTTTGTGATATCAGGAAAGATCAAGAGGAATTATATAGAAGAGTAAGAGATGAATGCAGAAAAGTAGGCTAATTGGAACAGAACTTGAGCTTTGAATAGACCATAATGCTATTGGAAGAAGTTATGGAGGATATTAGAATACATAACAGGGAGATTATTCTGGAAGTACCTATTTTCCCATTTCCAGTTTGTAGGATAAAAGTGAAAGCTACTAGTCGGCTTCAGGAAGCTCTGTGGGATCCAATGCCCCCTAGTGCCTCGTTGGTTGAGCTGGTGGAGGACTGGGATAACCGGCTCTCTGAAGCCATTGACGAGATTGACCCCCAGCACCCTCTACACCCTCGCACCAGAGCAGCACCGTGGTATACCACAGAGCTGTGGAGGATGAAGCGGGAGCTAAGACGGCTAGAGCGAAGGTGGTGGCGTGCTCGTGACAAAGTATCATAAACATCTGGTAGGACGTTTATGAAGGCCTGTGAGATGGCAGTGAAGGCTGCAAAGGATTTCTACGTGGCCTCCATTGCATCTGCAAGCTCACACCCAGCCCAAGTGTTTAGAGTTATTCGGTCTATTACAACTCAGTACCTTGAACTCTTATGTTGGCGAGGCAGTGGGTCATAAGATCATAGTCGACCGTGTCAAATGCTGCTGTCAGGTCTAATAACAACAGCAGCGCTGACCCGCCTCAGTCCAGGTGTCTATGGAGGTTACAACTCAGGGCAGACCAAATAGTAGGGAATTGGCCACTGGCTGTGAGGCATTTGCGAGCTATTTCGCAGATAAGATCGTGACACTCCACCAGGACCTCCAGCCACAGTTGATACAGTAAAATAACTGGAGGCCCCTTGTCCATCTTCTGGTCCGGCATTGGACCACTTCGATCGACTCTCTCGGGAGGAAGTTGACAGGATCCTGGCAGCAGTGAGACCTATTACCTGCCTCCTTGACCCATGCCCCTCCTGGCTAGTTAAATCTTGTGGGGAGAGCATTTGGGTTCCTCTGGGAGAAATTATCAACTTGTCCCTTTCTACTGGGACTTTCCCAGAGGCTTTGAAGGAGGCGGTGGTCTGTCCGCTCTTGAAAAAGCCATCACTGGACCCGATGGTCCTGACCAACTATCGCCCAGTATCGAACATACCGTTCTTGGCTAAGGTGATCGAGACTGGAAGGGGCACCTTTAGTGCCATCCCAAACAGGGAGGAGCCTGGGAGTAACACTGGATGCCTCTGTCTATGGAGGCCCAGGTTGCCGCAGCTACCAGATCTGCATTTTTCCATCTTAGGCAGATCAGGCTACTGAAGCCATAGCTTTCCCCTCAAGACCTAGCTATGGTGATCCATGCAGTGGTCACCTCCAGGCTTGATTACTGCTATTCGCCCTATGCAGGCTTACCCCTGAGGCTGATCTGGAAATTACAGCTGGTACGAAATGTGGCGGCATGCCTGCTGATGTCGACACCCATGCAGGCTCACATTCGGCATGTGCTTTGCCAGCTGCACTGGTTACCAGTTGAGTACCAGATCCACTTCAAGGTGTTGGTAATAACCTTCAAAGCCTTATACGGCCTGGGACCAACGTATCTAAGGGACCGCCTCTTCCTGCATACGCCTCAAAGAGCTTTATGCTCACAGGGCTCTTTTTGTAGCAGGAACTCCTTTGCATATTAGGCCACACACCCCTAATGTAGCCAATCCTCCAAGAGCTTACAGAGCTCTTCTTACAGGGGCTCCTGTAAGCTCTTGGAGGATTGGCTACATTAGGGGTGTGTCGCTTAATATGCAAGTGAGTACCTGCTACAAAAAGAGCCCTACTAGTAATCAACATCTCCTGGTGGTCCCTGGCCCAAAAGATGTCCATCTAGCCTCAGCCAGGGCCAGGGCCTTTTCTGCCCTTGCCCCCACCTGGTGGAACATGCTCCCCATCGAGACCAGGGCCCTGCAGGATCTTACTCAGTTCTGCAGGGCCTGCAAGACGGAGCTGTTCCGCCAGGCTTTTGGTTGAGGCACCAG